GGATGGAAGGAGGGAAAAGGAAGAGGAGGGAAGATGAAAGTAGGAAGGAGGGAAGGTAAGAAAGAATGGAAGGAGTGAAAGGAAGGGAAGATAAGAAGAGGAAGGAGAGGAGGGAAGAAGGGAAGGGAAGAGAAGCAGGGAAAAATAGGAAGGAGGGAGTGGAAAGAGAGGAAGGTAAGAAGGAAAGGAAGGAGAGGGAAGGGAGGAAGGAGAGAAAGAGAGGCAGGAGGGGAGGGGAGGGAGGAGGGAGTGGATGTAGGACAGCAGGAGCACATCTCTGGGGGTTCTGCACTTCCCAGAGCCTCTCTTGCATTCCCTGGGGAATCTGCTCCAGTGGGTGAAAGCACATAACTTTTTGGTGGGACAGACCTGCCTTTCAGCCTTAGGACTGGAAAGCTTAAGTTAGTGGCTGTGTTTTGGGGGTTTTGGAATGATTGTGCCTTCCTTCCATGGTGTCTCTGGAAGTTGCTTCATCCACAGGAGGTTCTGCCTTCCCTGTGTCTCTGGGATTTATCCCATGCGGAGGCAGATCGTTCCCATCAGTGCCTGCCTTGGCTCCTGCCTTGGCTCCTGCCTTCAGTTTTGCAGTGACTTTTAAAGCTGTAACCTCTCAGAGATCAGATTTTGCAGGTGTCTAGCCATAACTGACAGATCAGCCCTGACTGAGCTATAAAGCCACAACAGGTTTCTCAGGTTGGATGATGAGCTGTGTGAAACTGATTGTTAATGTTTTATGGGATAATTGCAGCTTTTCCATGTGGGTATCCTTCATACCTGTCCAGAGTCAGTCCTTGCTAGCTGCCAGACCAGGATTTTCCTGGAGTGGGGAAAACCTGCATTTGCTGCTGGTTGTAACAGATGTGTTTTTTAAGCTCATCTAGTTCTGTTGATCTGATTTTCCAGCAGCTGTAGAAAGTTTTCTTATTCATTTTTAATGTTCTCATAGAAATTGACTAAAAAAAAACCCCATGAAACCCTTCATGGCTTTTTAATGCTCTGTAAGCGCCAAGTGAATCATTAGTCAGTTTTTCCTTCATAGTATGGCAATTTACTGCTGGGTCAGACCCTGTTGTGAGAGGCATTTTTGCTCTTTTAACTCCTTCAGTGTTGTGTTTTGGCCTGCAAAAGGGAATACATTGTTCTCTACTGTGTCAGTTACAGCCTATTTAACCTGTAAACTTTGTTTTTCCTCTTCTGCCCCGAAAAGTCGCTTGACTGGTGAAGGAGGCAAAGCTTTCTCTGCAGATGTCAGAAAACACTTCCCTCAGCTTTGCAAAGTGTTCAAGGTATGTGTTTTTCCTGTTCTCTACCCTTCAGTGGTTAAAGCTATATCCAGGTGGGCAAGGCCAGAGATCATTGTGAGGCTCAAATTGGAGTTTCTCTGTAGAATCACTGGGGTTGGGAAAGGCCTCCAAGATCATCAAGTCCAGGGTTTATGAGGAGTGTGAGCTGGTGGCATAGCAGTAAAGTTTGTTGGCAAAATGTATCTTCGTGTTACTAGAAATTAGTACAGGAGAGTAGAATTCTGAGTCTTGGGTGTGTTCTGGCACCAGCAACAATTAGAGCTGATTCTGCAGCCAGAAAACGTGATCCAGTGAGTTCTGGAACATGCACTGAATGTCAAGTTTTGGTAGAGATTAATGTCAGGAATGTTCTTAGCCAGTTTTTCCTGTCTTAGATGTTTAAGTACACTTGGAGAGTCAAGTGGTAGAGCATAACACACATAAGAGATGTAAAGAACTTTGCATGTTTCGAGTTCAGTAAATGTGTCTAAATTACAGAGAGCAAAAAGGTCTTCAGGACCTCAAATGGCTTTATTGACTCAGAGTTATGGGATCAACAAAGAGATTGCTACACGGATGTGTTTGTGTTTGCCAGCTCTCCAGAGTGTTGGTGCTCAGCTAATTAAGACAGTATTTCTCTGCTGCTTGTGTGACCTGAGGGTTTGTGGGTTTTGTTTGGTTGTTTTCCAGGCACACATTTCCAGCCCCAGCTCGGAGCTCAGCAGTGCAGCACTGCAGGCCTTGGGATTCTGTGTTTTCAACTCCAGTAACTCAGCTGAGCTCTCTGGTAAGCAAACCAAGCTCTGTGCTGTGCACACAGCACAGTTCTGCCTTGCAGTTCCCAACTGCTTTTGTCCCTGGTGTGAGCAGTGGGATCAGCTCCCTTACTCTACACTAATGGTGTGTTCCTGACCTGTGGTTTCATTCACTGTCTGGTAGCAATTAGGAGCTGTCATTAGTTTTTGGAGCTAATAGCCAAAAAAAGATGTCCAGGTGGGAAAAGAGTGGAGAAGGTCTTTGTTTATGGAATTTAGGTGTGCCTAGCAGTGCTGGGCCATGTTTTCCAGCTGATTTTGATGACCTTCCCCAGATGATTCCTGGTTGTTACATCACACCACAGAGTGGTTTCAGTTGTCAAAGACAATTAAAGCTCAGCTAGTCCAGCCTATGTATTGTGCTGGTGGATAGTTCAAATTAAACCAATGTAAAGTAGTCCCAAGTGTTATTCCCTACGCTCTTATCTTAGAAAGAATCCCTTTTACAGAAGCTTTTGCTGACGAGAACTTGAGGCTTTGCATCAGGGTAAACCGATGGGGTTTTGTGAGCAGGGCAGAGCTAATGCCTGAGTTGGCTGGTCCTTGGCTTACACATTCCAAGTGTTGAGCAGATCCAGGTGGGAAACAGGCAGGAGCCGCTCGGTGTCACCTGTGGTGGTGCACCGGGTGAAGCCAAGTTGTTGTGGGCACACAGGGAGAGGTGTTGTGGTGTGGCTGTTGTGTGGTGCCTTGGTGGTGTGTGAGGCTACACTGGCTCTTAATTGCTAGCAGCAAATGATGTACAGTCAATTAGTCTCTTTTTCTTTCCTGAGAAGTGCTAAATACTCTTGGACAAATGTTCTGGAATGGCTTTACTAGGGAGAAACTTAGGCAAGGCTGAGCTAAATCACCTGTGTGGATGTGTGGAGGACATTTCTCCTCTGACTCTGCCATTCTGTATGAAGTTTGTTCTTTTGGCTCTTCCGCTTTTCTTCTTCTTCCCACTCCATTTCCAGTGTGTCCTGCTTTTCTGTTACACAGAATTCACCCAATTCCCTATGGGAATGAGGCATCTGTAATAACATCTGTGTGGTGCCTTTCTTTTCCCCCTCATAACTCTCTTTGAACCAGTTGATAAGTTCCAGTCAGTTTTGTTAGGGAATGTGATGCTTCGGGAATAATGAAGTCTTGGAAACAATGGAGAGTTAAGGAGTGAGGACAAACAGCATATGTACTTTGGATTGAGGGAAGGAATGTGTGAGACCTTATGGCTCTGATTTGTGAGATCATTTACCCACAAAGCCTAAATTTCTGTTAAGTCACTTCATTAGTTTTGGATTTTAAGGGAAAATGTGATTTTTTCCGTCTCTTTCCCCAGTTGTCTCTAAGTCCTGTGTTCGCCTTATTTTTGTGTAATGAGTTGGTTTTACCACCACCTTTAATGATGAAACCTCTTGTAGAGCCTGGACTGGCTTCACTGTTGTCAGTAAAACAGTGAGATTGACCCAAGTGCTGCTTTGAATAACTGAATATTAAGGGAATTGAGCTAAAATTGTCATGGAGTTTTATGGTTTGGTGGTTTCCTAGGAAGCTAATTCAGATGTACGACAATAATATGTGTATGTTAACATATACAGATGAGCTTTAAATGAGCTTTTTGCTACCTTATTTTGAGAGAAACTGCCAATGTGAGACAACCATTCATTGGGACTTGCAGCTGAATGGAACTTCGGGGTGTTAACTGAGCAGAACGACCTGGGACTTGGTGCACAGGCTCTGTGTTCTCCTTGCAGCTGCTGACATCCAGGACCTGCTCTCAACAGTCAGCAATGTTGCTGTCAAGTCCTCAGACAAGAACACTCGCACTCGGGCACTTTGGGTGATAGCTAAGCAGGCCTTTCCCTCCGAGGTGGTTAAAAAGGAGGTGAGTTCCTTCCCTTTTCCCTTTGCTGGGCTGATTTCCCAGGCAGAGGAGTCTTGTGCAGCCTCCTGGGCACTCCTCAGTTGGTAGTTTTTGCATATGAAAGTTGTTTTCCATCAAATTGGACAGCTCTTGGGAAAATTGAGCTGTGGGTTATCATCTGCCTCGAGAGAGAGGCTGCAGTGTGAACAGTCCTAGCAGTGAAACAGCACAGGGGAGAAATGTGCCTACAGTTTGGTCAGAGCTCCAGTCTCAAAGCCAGACCTGGCATAACCCAAACACATCCCTGGGAGGTGAAACCTCAGCATTCCTCATGGAATTCCTCGTGTTTTCATGCTCACTCTGATGTTGTTCTCTTGCTTCCTCAGGTGTCCAATATTATTTCCACCCTGGAAACAATCCTGACCAAGGGAGATGTACAGTCTATGGTGGTGGAATATGAAGCCCTTAATGTCATTATTCGGTATGTGCACTGCAGTGTTGAAGCTCATTAGGTGCTTAATTGTGGGGGGAGAACTCTTGATACAAAACCTTAGTGGCACTAAATATACTGAAGGATTTTTTTATTCACTGCTCTTGTTCAATATGGTCAGGATTGTTTTCCTACAGTGCTGTCACAGTTTTGACTGGGATAGAGGTAATTGTCTTCCTAGGAGCTGGTGCAGTGCTGTGGTCTGGATTTGGGATGAGGCTAATGTTGATGGCACACTGATGGTTCAGGTGTTGCTGAGCAGTGTTTGAACTAAGTCAAGGACTTGGCAGCTTCCAGCCCCACCAGGGAGTGGGGACACAGCTGGGACAGGAGATTCCAGCTGGCCAAGAGGATATTCTATAGCATGTGGCATGGTCCCCAGTGTGCATAAACTGGGAGAACCTGTCCAGGGCCTGCTGGGCACCACTCAGGGTGGCAGCAGTCCACTGAGCATCACTTGCTTTGGGTGTGATTATTACTGCAAAATATTAATGATAGTGCAATTGATTTCGACACAGAAATCAGTTAATGTTCAGCTAAATTTCCGTTTTCAGTGGCTGATCAGGAGTTTTTTCCCAATCTCACATGTGCCTTACAAGTTCTGTTGATACACTTCATTTTGAGAACCTACTGGTTGAGGAATTCAGGGCCATCATTTGGGGTTTGCTTTAAAATATCTACTTGTTCCTTTCCACATTTTCCTGCAGTGTTCCCCATGGCACTGTTGAGATTCCTGTTTAATTCCAGAGGTGACTTGTTAGGACCAGCACAGTGTGTTGTCTTGGTCAGCAGTGCTAGAGTATTCACATTTTATCTTTACTTAGCTTTAATGTAATGTCTTCAGTAGTAAATATGTTAGGCTTGTGTCTGTGTTACTTTGGCCTCTGGTTTGAGCTATACATGCATTTGGAAGTGGAATAGTTTTTAACAGTGCTTGTCCTCTGACTTCGATAAACCCACTAGAAATGCAGCAGTTCTCCTTAGTGCAGCAAACTCTTTGGAAGCTGCAGGGATGGGGGTCTGACTCACCTGGGCTAAATGGAGCATTGGCAGAATTCCAGGGCTTCCAGAGACAAGCTGGTTCCTGCAAGCTAGTTTGAATATATTCCAGGCACTCCTGGCTCCAAAAGTCTGTGTTTGAGATGGAATTGTTTGTCATGCTGTGCTCATAGCTTGGGAATAGGAAGATGAAACAGGAACACTTGAGTAGGGTGATGCACATGGAGTCTGTGCAGACCTGGGCTGCTCCAGGGCTGGAGTTGTTTTCCAGAAGGAGATGTGTTGGAGCTCTCTGTGCTGCTGGGAGCTCCCAGGAGTAGTTAAGTGTCCAAACTCTGCACTTGGGCACTGATAAGGAGGTGACAGTGTGCTCCTGTCAGGCTCCCAGCTCAGCTCCCCTGCCCAAATCATTGTGGTAGGACAGAGAGGGTAACTTAAAATGTCAGTCTGCTTGTGGAGAGGTTTGTCTGAAACAGCACCTGAGAGTCATAGGTTGAATCAGAGCATTTATTGATCATACTGAGGTAATTTACTCTGCTCTGTGAGGCCCCACCTGGAGTTCTGCACACAGCTCTGGTGTCCCCAGCATAAGGACATGGGACTGCTGGAGCAAGGCCAGAGGAGGCCACAAAGCTGATGGGAGGGCTGGAGCATCTTCCCTATGGAGAGAGTTGGGGCTGTTCAGCCTGGATAAGGACATTGCTGGAGCAAGGCCAGAGGAGGCCACAAAGCTGATGGGAGGGCTGGAGCATCTTCCCTATGGAGAGAGTTGGGGCTGTTCAGCCTGGAGTAGAGAAGGTTGTGTGGAGACCTCAGAGCACCTTCCAGGGTCTGAAGGGGCTCCAAGGAAGCTGCAGAGGGATCTGTGTTAGGAGCTGCAGGGACAGGACAAGGGGCAATGGGGAGAAATTGAAAGAGGGAAATTCAGATTAGATCTGGAGGGCTGGAGCATCTTCCCTATGGAGAGAGTTGGGGCTGTTCAGCCTGGAGTAGAGAAGGTTGTGTGGAGACCTCAGAGCACCTTCCAGGGTCTGAAGGGGCTCCAAGGAAGCTGCAGAGGGATCTGTGTTAGGAGCTGCAGGGACAGGACAAGGGGCAATGGGGAGAAATTGAAAGAGGGAAATTCAGATTAGATCTTAGGCAGAAGTTTTCCCTGTTCTGGTGGTGAGACACTGTCCCAGGTTGCCCAGGGAGGCTGTGGCTGCCCCAACCCTGACAGTGTTCACAGCCAGGTTGGATGAGCCTTGAGCAACCTGCTCTGGTGGGAGGTGTCCCTGCCCAGGGCAGGGGTTGGGGCTGGGTGAGCTCTAAGCTCCATTCCAGCCCCTTAACATTCTATGATTTGAGTGCCTGAGCAATCTGTTGGAGATTTGTAATCCCTATATTTGCTTTTTTTGGCTCTAGGTTGATGGAGCAGACTCCAGCCCAGATGGGAGAAGAGGCTGTGAGATGGGCAAAGCTGATCATTCCCTCAGTTGTCCACTCTGCTCACAAGGTGCAGCTACGAGGTGCTGCTGCCCTGGAGATGGGAATGCCACTGCTCCTGCAGAAACAGCAGGAAGTGGCAGCTGTCACTGAGCACCTGATGACCACTGTAAGTGGGAATGCTGTGCCTTTTGTCTGGGGACAGCTGCAGCAGCAACTGGGGGTTGGTTGGCTGAGGGCGTGTTTAGTTTTATTTACAGCCTAGATAGTGGCAGCAAAAATCTTGTGTGTATCAGCAGCAGCTCCTCGAGGACATGGACAGTTTTCAGTGGAAAAATTAATGTACCAGGAATGTAAATATAGGACCACTGTAAAAACAGTCATGTGGCTGAAAGGAATCATTGGTCAGGAAAATAACTTGCTGGTGTTAAATGACTTTTTAGTGCTGATAGTATTAACTTTAAAGTTTCATTGTCTCTGAAAGAATTTGCTCACCAAACTGTAATCTGCAGAACATGGTGTGGCAGTAACTCACATCATCCAGTTTAGCTTCCTGCTCAAAACAGGAGCAGAAAAGGGCCAAAAGTTAAGGTTAGATGTCTCAGGGCCTATTCCAGTTGGAGTTTGAGTGTGTTGAAGGATGGAAATTCTACAGCCCAGGCTGGACAGTTGTTCCAATGCTTACCCACTCTCACGGTGGAAGTAGGATTTGCCCTGTTGGAACTTGAGTAAGTCCTTCCAGGACATCTCTGAAGCCTCTGGTTTATTCCTTGTAGCCCAGCTGCAGGTAGTGAAAGGCTGCAGTGACACTGCCTCCCATCCCAGACCAACCTGGCTCTTCTGCCATGAACTCCCTTCCCTAAATATCTCGGTGTTGGCTCTCTGCTGCTCGCTCCAGTTTGCCAGCAGTTCTGGTGCTTTGGTGCCCAGAGTTTGGCGCAGCATTCCAGGGGTGATCTGGTGAGTTCCAAGTAGAGAGGTCAGTTCTCTTGACTAGTTTATACTTTTGCTGGTGTACAGGAGCACATTCCTGATGGGACGGTCGAATCCTTGTCCCCTCCTCTTTCTGGAATAGCTTAGTTCCAGGTTGGTTTGTCTGCAGGCATTGATTTATGTGGGTTTTGGAGGTCTTGAAGTATATTTCTTGTAGAAATTCTGTTTCTTTCCATCTGCAGAAATTAATCTCTGAACTTCAGAAACTCTTTTCTGCCAAAAACGAGACTTACGTCTTGAAACTGTGGCCGCTGTTTGTCAAATTGCTTGGCAAGGTAAGCAGGAAAACTCTACAGTAATAAATCTCCAGAAAAGAAGTTTGTTAACAGCATTCAGTACCTGAACTCTGGCCTTGTTCCCCCCTCAGACTCTGCACCGCAGTGGCAGCTTCATCAACTCCCTGCTGCAGCTGGAGGAACTGGGATTCCGCAGTGGCTCTCCAGTGGTAAAGAAAATAGCCTTCATTGCATGGAAGAGTCTAATAGATAATTTTGCTCTAAATCCAGGTAGATTTCAAAACAAATTAACCTGAACTGTTTTTGCCTCCTGTTTGCATAACTTGGAAGAGAATGTGCTGACAGTGCTCTGTAGATGTCACAGGGGGTGTCTGTGGTGTGGGTATACAGCAGTAAAATTAAGGGGTTTGGGTTTTTGCCTTGCAAAGAAAAGAAAACAAGGTAAAACCAACAAAGTGATAGCTTGGTCAGTTTTCTATCTGCATTCTTCTGCTAGGACTTCTAGGAATAAAGTTATATTAACAGAGCTTCTGTGGGGCTTTAATTGGTACAGACAGCAGTGAAATAGAGAGTTCAACTCTTACTTTTCCTCAGATCTTACTTTGGACTGTGTGGCCTAATTGGACAAGAACTTCAGGATTCTAGATGTGTTAAATGTTGCTTTAAGGGTGTAACTTAGACCTGAACAAGTTCTAAGTCTATTCTGTGTCAAAACACAGGGTATTTGTTACCTTCATTGTGCTTCTTTGTGTGTCCTGAAGAGGAAACCAAATGTGACATTGCTTAGTTTAGCTGAGTATAACTTTGGTTGTCATGTTAATGTGTTTCTTACCTGCTCATTTGTTCTGAGCATTTCCCATGAATTGGTGACAAGGTTTGGTTATTTGGGAATGTAAAATCCGTGGTGTCCTGGGGTGGCTGGGCAGGATGTCATGCTGCAGGAGCAGCTCCTGCTGGATTGCAGAGGGACAGGTTCTGATGCTGCTGAGCTGGCCAGAAGTTCTCCTTCTTAGCAAAAGTCTGTCCAGACATGCTGTGCTGTTTGTCCTTCAGTGGCAAGTGATCACTGACAGCCTCAGATCCTTCATTCTCACCCAGGGGCAATGCACAGAGGTGTTAAGAGTTTGATTTTCCTGTTACTGGGGCAGGTAGGACCTAACATGGCAGATGAGAGTGAATTTCCTTCTGTTTGTGTTGGAATTCAGTGGATTTCATTTCAGTCTTGGTAAGAAATACTTTGTATTTCCAGGGGTTTCTAGGCAACAATTACAGCAGTAAAACAGTCTGAAAGGTTGGTGCATTTCCTATATGTTGTAGTTTTGCAGATGGTCCTTAATTGAATTGTAAGCTGAACAACCCTGATGGATTAATTAAAAATGTTCCTTTCTTTGCTGCCCTGTGACTTAATTGTTTGTGTTGCTTAAAATATGCTCTTTTCTTGGTCTTCCAGATATATTGTGCAGTGCTAAAAGGCTGAAACTGCTGATGCAGCCCCTGAGCTCAATCCACGTAAGAACAGAGGCACTGGCACTGACCAAGCTGGAGGTTTGGTGGTATCTCCTCATGAGGTTGGGCCCTCAGCTGCCTGCAAACTTTGAACAGGTAACACACCTGGAGACACTCTGAGCACTCAGCCTGGGCTGAGTGTGGACAGCTCTTAGTTCCTGTTCAGCCTGGAGAAGAGGAGACTCAGGGGAGACCTCACCCTCTGCAACTCCCTGACAGGAGGTTGGAGTCAGGTGGGGGTTGGTCTCTTCTCCCAGGCAACCAGCAGCAGGACAAGAGGGCACAGACTCAAGCTCTGCCAGGGGAGGGTTAGGTTGGCTATTAGGAAGATATTTTTTCCAGAGAGAGTGCTCAGGCATTGGAATGTGCTGCCCAGGGAGGTGGTGGATTCACCATCCCTGGAGGTTTTCAAGCTGAGGCTGGTTGTGGCACTTGGTGCCATGGGCTAGTGACCATGGTGGGGTTGGACTTGGTGATCTTGGAGGTCTTTTCCAACCTGGTTAACTCTATGATTCTATTCCTATGTGCTGCATCCTCCTCTGGCTTGATATTGAAGTAGAACTGTCTGAAGGAGCCAAATTTCACTTGTATTTCAGTGCTCTCTGTGTGTCTTGGGACTCTCTGTGCCCTTGGAACTCAAAGTTCCAAAGATTTTGAGAGCCTGTTTTGAGTGTAATTAACATCTCTGGAAGTCTCCAGTGAGTGCACAACAACATCAACACGTTACATGAGGACTGTTTTGTCCTTCCACCAAGACAAGTGTGTGCTTGGGAAAGTCTAGCCTGGGAAACACACTGGAAAGACCAGAAATATTTAGGAAGACAAAGGAGAAAGTGATTCAGGTGTTCTATTACTAGTCACATTTGGAATGAACATGATGTTTCTGTTGCACATCTGAATGTCAAGAAATTAAACTTCAGGGTGAGAGTAAAAGGGAGTGAGAAAGTACCTGCTTAGCTGTGATACAGCTGGGTCATCCTCCGATGAGTTTTTGTTTAATGTAGCCATTTCTGGCTAATTTTATACAGCCTCTTAAATGTACTGATGTAAGTACCCAGAAACTGAACCTCTGAACAACAGCAGTCTCTGTGGTGCTTCAGATGGGTGTTCTATGGCTTGTGTGTGTCACAGCTGTGCTCACTGAGGTGTGATCTCTTTGCAGGTTTGTGTCCCATTAATCCAAAGTACTTTAAGTCTGGATCCTTCTACTGCATCCCATGGAACTCCCTCACGCCTTCAAGCCAACCAGTCCTTAGGCTCAGCCACCCCTGGGCAGAAATCAGGTATTGCTCTGTGGTTATATTCTGTATACTCTTGTTTCCAGCTCAGTTCTTGATGCAGAGACTCATCTGTTCTGCTCATCATGTTGTTGGTTTTCATTTGCAGCACATTACTAGTGAAACCAGTAAATTTCTCTGCATGTTCACTGCAGAACTCAGGGTAAAATTAGGCTGTTGAGGTCAGCATTTCAAGTTTAAAAAATGGTGCTAATCCCAATAGGAGCAGTTTTAATGTCCTGATTTGTGTTCTCTGTTGGCAGGTTTGAAACTCAGTTTGTATGGATTTATACATGTGCTGTTTATGTGAATATAAGTATAGGCCTTTTATTTTTGTAGCATTTTTAGTTTCTGCCTGAATAGTATAGAATATATATACAATACATATAGACTTATGGAATGGTTTGGGTTGGAAGGACCTTAAAGCTTATCCTGTTCCACCCCCTGCCCTGGGCAGGGACACCTCCCACCAGCCCAGGGTGCTCCAACCCCATCCAGCCTGGCCTGGAACACTCCCAGGGATGGAGCAGCCACAGCTGCTCTGGGCAACCTGTGCCAGTGTCTCAGCACCTCACAGGGAAGGATTTCCTCCTAACATCTAAACCTGCTCAGTGGTCATAAGACATCACTAATGTTGGTGCTTGAAGGCCATGTGAAATGACACCTCAATTAGGTGGCTGGGATCAGGAGCTCCCTTTTATTCCCTTTGTGGAATCCTGGCATTCATGGCTGCTGTCATTAGGTGCCTCAGGTGTGTTGTGGAGGTCTCCTAGATCTAGAGTTTCCTGTGTTCCCTCAAGTTCATCTCAGTCCTGAGATCACAACTGAGGTTGGTTGAAATGCTTGGACTTGAGTGTCACATGGAAGGTTTTGATGGAAAGTGTTTTGTAGCAGTAGAGTTAGTTTACAACAGGTGTACAGCAACTGTAAGCAGCTTCCACAGAGATTTATGTTGCCAGAATCAGGTTTGGTGTGCCAGACTCTGCTACCTCAGACAGATCCTTACACCTTGTGAACACACAGCTAGGGATGTGCTGTTACACCCCACACAGCAGTGTCTGCTGGGTATCCATGAGAGCTCCCTTGGAGCCAACACTGACAGTTTGTTCTATCCTTGGGAGGGTTTGGGCTGTGGGTTCTGTTGTTTCACTTGCAGTGTGAAGTAATGTGACTTCTCTCCCTCCCCCAGGTCCTTACCCCTTTGCTGGCTCAGCCACGCCCAGGATGAACCTGAATGCCAGCACAGCAGGAGCAGTGCCAGTGCCTTCCATCCAGCTCCTGGGCATTGAAATGCTGCTGCACTTCCTCAGGGGACCAGGAATTGTGGATTTTGCTGAGCAAAACAAACTTGTTCTTAGTTTAGGTACATAGGTCACATATATAAGCACTTTTGTATAGTCTCAAACTGCCAGTTGGGTTGGATTTCAGGATACCTGTGGGAGTGAAATACTTTAAAACACTTCTCTGTCATCTCCAAGATGACACGTAGCTGTGATAGATGTTCTAAATAACAACGTAAGTGATGATTTTAAGGCTTATGTGACCATAAACTGCAAATAACAGATTTATGGCCTGTGTGTTCTCGTTCTAGAGCCTCTGCAGTACCCTCTGATCAGTAGCCCTTCTTTTTTTTGTAAGCATGGCAGCACGCTCATAAGTGCCGTTCAGGATGGCTTCATTGCAGTTGGAAAAGAAGTTCCTGGTAAGAATTCAGTCATGAAATTAGATTATTTTCTGGAAAATTAAGTGGGAAGGATAAGGAATAACCACTCTGTGTAATACCTGATGTGCTTTGGAGCTGGTGTCACTTGGCTTACCTCACAGTCTGTCCTTTACCACAGTTTGTGTGTTAACTGCAGGTTTTTTTGCAAACTCAGTAAAAACATTATCTTGCAGATTGTATGCTGAGTATGATATGGAAGGACATAAATGGATACGTGAAAACAGCAATTGAATCAGGTAAAGTGTAATCTTGACTTAATTTGTCCTTAATTAATTTTCATTCACGTTAAACTATATTGTCTTTGCAGATCTAGACAAGTTGTTTCCTAGTTAAGTGTCTGTTATACTCCAAAGGGTTTGAAAGGGATGGGACATCCAGAGAGACCTG